AGAGGGTATGTTTTTCTCAGTTAGTTGGTTATGCATGAGAGGGTTTTTCTCAGTTAGTTGGTTATGCATGAGAGGGTATGTTTTTCTCAGTTAGTTGGTTATGCATGAGAGGGTTTTTCTCAGTTAGTTGGTTATGCATGAGAGGGTATGTTTTTTTTTGATCAGTCAGTGTTTTTGCAATATTCTCCTCTATCAAAGTTTTGAAAACTGTTTGTAGTTCTTTTAAGTTATTATATAATAACTTAAAAGAACTACAAACTAATTTGATTAACTAAAAACGATTCTTTTAATATTGTTACAGCATCTGCTTACAGTTCCTCCACAGTTTTTGTAAATTTTTTTTTTTTTTTTTTCCTTCCATCATGTACTGGAAGAAGTTTAAGCCAAGAGTGTTGGCAATCGCTTCCTTTGTAAAAAGCCTTTTATTATGTGTTGCCAGTAATTGCTTTAATATTAGTGAATTGCAAGATTTTCAGACAACTTGATAAATAGATTTACTTTTTTTTGAAGGAAAATGGTTGAGATATCTTCTATTTTAATAAACGAGTTCAGGTAGTTTTTACTATATTTTGAAATAAAAATGATTTTAAATTTGTTCTTCCATTAGTTTCTATCTTGGTAAGAAAACTGATGTTATATTTGAATAGCTCGAGACCATATATTAGCTTTGGAACTGTTAATGAGTTATAAATGAACTATTGCTGACAGCTGAAATATGAATTCTATTGTCACTTAAAACTATTGAAACTTTATGCTCATTTAAGTTTATTTTTTGAAGTGTTACATGCAACGCTTTAAAAAACACTTTAATAATATGATTACATGCAACGGTATTCTTGTTAGTATCATTATCCCATTGGATATTTTATCTTATTTCAAAGATATGTTAAAGTTCCATTAATTTGAATAACGTTGTTTGAAATAGAACTTGTTCCAGAAATTAGAAATTATGTTTTCTCAGTGTTTAGTTTGATTAAATTTGCTACTCCATAGGTTTGAAATCTATCAATCAGTTCTTGCAGACTAGAGACAAAGGACTTATTACAAATCCCACAAGAAAATTGAATACATTTTAAAACAAACTTAAAATAAATGTTGAAATAATGCAGATATTTTCAATGTTTATTTTAACATTAAACTTATGTTGAGATGATGTTGATTTTTAGATTGTTATTTTTCAACCATAACCATCAACCTAATCTCAACCTTGAAACAACAATATGTGCTTGCTGGAACTATGATTATCTTCAATCTGTATTTTTGCTGTGTGTTTATATCAAAGCGAAGGTTCAGACCTTCTCTTGCTGCATCTATCATAATTATCTAAATTTATTGAAAACACTAGTTTGCTATCAGAAAGAAAATTTTTCCATTTCTAAAGCAGCCAGCAGTAAATTTAAGAGGAGTTGCTTTGATTGAAGAGTACAATTCTTTAATTACAAAAAAATATCAAAACAATATTTATTTAAAAAGAAAATCTTTCCATTTCTAAAGCAGCCAGCAGTAAATTTAATTACCATCAAAATGAGTTGCTTTGATTATAGATTACAGTTCTTTAATTACAAAGAAAATCAAAAACATCTATTAAAAATTATGCTTGATCATAGATGCAAAGCTCCCAGAACGCAAGAAAGAACTGTTTACAGCAAAGTAAGAATGACAATTTTTGACTTTTGCTTGACTTTTGTAAATATGTAATTGTTCATACATGGTAGTATTGTTTTTAGATTGTTTAGAAGTATATTTTTTAATTGACCGGGTGTGAAACCCATGGGTGTCTTTTTTATACCTGTAACTTGAAACTAAAAGAAACAGGCATTTGCCTGAACAACGAGAACAAATTGCATTTTTAAATTATAATATGCCTAATTTCATGGAATAATTTTTATTTAATTTATTTTATAGACTAATATCATGTATTAAAATTATTAAATTCACTCATTTGTATTTTTTATTGTTTAGAAGTATAGTTTTTAGATTGTTTAGAATATATTAAATCCTAACGATCATTTAATAAATTAAAGTTGTTGTTGGTTAAATATGACATTTATAATTTAATTAGTTGCTAAATTAATATATTTTAGCATATATTATTTGTTGTTTAGTAAGATATGTGTAAATAGACTATCAATATCAAATGTTTAAATAAGATATACTTAGATTATAGTAATAATTTAGAAAGATATTAACTTAAATTACCCATGGTTCATAGTGTTCTATAGTCATGTTATCCATGGTTCAATATTCAAAAAGTTATGTTATTGTCTGACAAATAATACCTCCTATATATCAATTAGACATATTTTTTTATTTTAGGTTTTCATACATGCTAATCTTTTGTTATCACAAATAAAATACAACTACATTAAGGTTTCTATTGAAAAAAATCTTATGCAATTCTATTCAATTCTATTCTATTAAAAATTTATAAATTTATGTTTCTTGAAACAAGACTCATCTTTTGTCTACTGATTGTTTGTTTTTGTTTTTGAATTTTTTTAAGATTAATAAGTTAATCAGTTTAAATTTCTTGAAAAAAGTTTTCGATGGTAAATTAATGACGATTAGATCATCAATGGTTTTGTAAGTTAGATAGTAGATTATTTATACTTCGGTTATTGATAGTTTATTAAGATAGTTATACATATATTATTGATGGTTTCATGATTATCGGTGGTTTAGTAAGATATTTATACTTGAATTATTGGTGGTTTTGTAAATTAATTTTACTAATGTTATCGGTGATTCAGTAAAATGCTTGTATTTAGTTTGTTAATGGTTAAGATGTTTATATTTATTTTGTCAATTGCTTCGCCAGACATTAATTCTTAGATTTTCAAGAAATTTTTACTTAGATTATAAATGGTCATATGTACAATCATATGTGCAAATGGTCATATGAATACAATTATCAGTAGTACATATAAACACGTAATATTGAGTATGTAATATGTTGAAAACGTAATATATAAATATCAGCATGTAAGATACTTAAATTCTTAATGTTTTATTAAGTTTAATTTCTTTAAATTTAAGATTATTGTAAAATTTCTTCAATAGGCTTTTGATAATTAAATGAGAATTAAATGAACATTTAATTTCATTCAATAAAAAATTAAATAAAAAAAAGCAATTGCTTTTACTTAGTAATTGGTCAGTTTTATGTGATTAAAAACTTCAGCAGTTTTGTAAAAAAATTTATTCACGTAAAGTTAAGCAATTTACTCAGTAATTGCTCAGCTTTATGTGAATAAAAACTTAAGCAATATTGCTAAAAAATTATTCACATAAAGCTGACCAGTTACTGAGTAAAAGCGATTGCTTTTTTTTATTCACCCGGTCTATTTTTCAGATTTTTCAACTTTTAAAAGTGTACTCTTAAGTCCTTAATACAAGGGGGTGGGGGGCTTAATAAGACAAACGTTTATTAAGTGTATGTGCGGCCGTGACGCAGTCATTAGAGCACTTGCTTTTTATGCAGGAAATCCAGGTTTGAAACAAGCTTTGAACATATTTTGCGTCATGGTAAGCAAGGAGGCGTGAACTTTCTAGTTAAATGCACTTCCGCGGTGCTCTGTGACAAGACCCTTAGGACTTTTTGGGGTACCTAAAATAACAAATAAAAAAATTAAAAAAACGTTTTACTTGTTATCTACAGAAAAATTAAATCTCAAGACTAAAAAAGAAAAATTCTGTAAAAATTGGTCTTAAAAATTAAAAAATTGTTACTTCAGTCACCAAAAATCAAAGATTAAATGTAAACAGGCTTTAAAAAACGTCGACATTTTAAATTTTCTCACCAAAGTATAGAACTTATATCAACATAATAAGTCCTATTGAAATTATGAAAAAACAGCTGTTAGAAAATGCGCATTTGACCACAAGCCACGCTAGAATTAATTAGTTTTAAAACCATTTAAATCTAGCATAGCTTGTGATCAAATGCTCACTTTCTAATTGTTTTTTAATAACTTATTTAAAATGCATAAAATTTTATGTATGTTATGTAAAAAATATTAGTTTGGATATATAAATTTTCCTCCCCCACCCCTTTTATTAACCCCCGCCCTGTTAATCAGACCTGGACTAAAATTCCCACTCACCCTCCTTTCATTCCCACCCCTTGTATTAAGGACTTGAGAGAAACCAATTTAGACGTAACTTAACTACAACCAATTGTACTTATGTTACATCTCAAATATGTAACGTAACTTAAAAAAACTCTGCATTTAAGAGGTATTTTAATTGCGCCTTTTGTTTATGTTTTGTTACGTCTCAATTGGTTTTAAAAGTTTAAAAAAAAAGCCAATTGAGATATAAGATTGCAAATTGATGTCTCAATTTTGAGACATAAATAAAATATGTTACAAATATAAATTTTATTTTACGTTACATTACATTTTTTTGAAATTTTTAAAAATGTAGCTAATTGAGACATAACATAACATAAAAAAAAATCTGTATCTGAGACTTATTTTAACTGCGCTTTTTTTTATTTCTTGAAAAAGTAACCAGTTGAGAAAAAGCTATTTTACAATAAAAAATAAAGTAAATATGGTAATTAGCTATACGGCAATAATAAACAAACATTTACTGCATTATCAAGTTTATTTAAATAATATTTAATTAAAAATAAGAGAATGTATCCATGTTATCAATTGTAACTGATTGAGACGTAACGAAACTAGTAAAATGTTATAGGGGATTTGTTAAAATTATGGCAAAGCCTAAATACTCTCGCACCTCATATCGCGAGGGAGAGGGAAGGGAGAGACTGGTAAGACTGAGAGGTCAAGCTTAACTGAAAGAATTGACTTTAGTTTGAAATAAGAGAGTTTTTGACTACTTTATCTTGTACATTACACCTCCAGTTATTTACTAAATTGTCTTTGAAAAAAGTTTTATATCTGAATTATTTCAAATAAAGATTTATCTTTACATAAGAGCAGAAGTTTGATTTTATATTGTTATATTTTACACCAGAATTTATATATTTTTAGGGAATTATTTCATTGTTTATAGAAGCACGTGATAAGGATATCTTTTCTGACCAATTAATAGACGAATACAATAGTGTATTAAATATAGCTATATCATCTGAAAGTACACAACCTATTCCTTACAATGTTACTCAGCTAGGGAAATATAAATCAGGTTCTAATCTACAGTACAGTGTTAAAGTATATTGCTCTCAAGGTTACTATGGAAATGATTGTACAAGTTATTGTGACAAAACATCAGAGTTGTGCAATCCAGGTATGAATGGTATTTAATTATTTATAAGTCATAAAAGTTTTTTTTTTTTTTTTTAATTGATTATTTTAATTATTTTAATTTTAAACTCATTTGTTTTAAAGCAAGTAAAATTTGTTTTGAAACAAACAAAACAAAAAAGGTAATACTTACCCAAGTTGTACAAAATACTAAAAGTTATTGCAACACTAAAAGTTATTGCAACACTAAAAGTTATTGCAACACTAAAAGTTATTGCTTTTTTAAAAAAAAATATTAAAAAAAATATATCTTTTAAAAATCACATACATAATGACAATTTTGTTTATGCACTTGTTGAGCTTTGAAAGATGTGGTTTGCACCATTAAAATGCTTTGTTAATTATGAACAACACCGACTGTCATTGTTTTAGATAAATTGTTTATAGGCATATCTGTTCTAGAGAAAAGATAAACCACATGGAATATCTTTAATTAACTCTAAAGAATTAATCTTTAATTAATTAACTCCAAAGAGGATTGATCAAATTTCAAAAATGTTAGAATTTCAAAAATGTCAAATTGTCATGATCAAGTTTCAAAAATGTTGTCAAAAATTTTTCAATAAGAAAATTCGCAATAAAGATACAAAACTTATTTAAATATTTAAAGTGATTTAAATATTCCAGAGATAAAAGTAAGAAAACCTTTCAGGAAATATTAAGGAATACAAAGAAGCTTTTTTATACTATAAACAAGCAAAAAGGTTGAACAGAAATGTATAGTGTATTGTGATTAATATATTGTCCAAAATGTAGACAAAACTTAAAAACTTGACTACTCTTCCCGTTAAGCAACTAGCTTCTAACTGGTATTTGACTTGCAATGACAAGTATATATTCTTACTAGCAGTTCAGCTATCCATAAACATTTTTCAGTTTTGGAATTTAAAATCAAATTTTGAATTTAAATTCGCTTAACTTCTTGCTCTTTGTGAGATTATCTTGAATTCAGCTGTTTTATCTTTGGTTTTCAGTGTTGAAGGCTATTGATTTGCAAAGACTCCATTAGTCACATGCTTGGCCTGTGCATCTACCTACATATCATTTCACTGAATGAAATTTTTTTAAAAAGATTTGAATAAACTAATTATTTTTGTGTTTTTTTTTTTTGTTGTTGACCTTATTTTATTTTATGTTTTCTATTTGAGTTTATTTTATTTCTGATCAAATTGACTGAACCTTTACTCTTTTTCCATCAGCCATTAGTCATTTTCCATTTTTGTTGCTCATCATACTGAATGACTTGACTCTAGTACCACTACCCTTCTTGAAAATCTTCAACTGTTTCATTAATATTAAGGTAAGTCTAATATCTCTAATACATAGGTCTGATCTTATAACCTGTTAAAAGAATTATGCAGACATTTTTGCAAAGAACTTTTCCTCTAATTCATTTCTTGAATTGGATAATAAATACTATTCCTATCATCCTTGAGAAATAAGGTAATTCATTGTGCATTTTCAATAATGTCTGCCTCTTAATCTTTCCTTACATGATATATTTCGAAAGATTCTTGAAAGCCAAAACTCTTCTTCATTTCTAGTAATTTCTCGGGTACAACAAGGTTTTATACTTGGTTCTGGTTTTATACTATACATTTTTATACCGGTCCTAATTTCTAGTAGTTCTATTTAATAACAAAACAGGGTTCTTACACCTCCTTAAAAACCTTAAATATCCTTAAAAAATAAAAACCTCCTTAAATGTCCTTAAATAACCTTAAAAAAAGTTAAAATTTGACTGCTCTCCTTAATTTCTCCTTATTTTTTTTTTTTATTCATCTAGAAAATTTTTTTAAAGTGAATGGATTATACTTGTTAATAAATTTTTTTTTTTTTTTCACATCTTCGCTTCCAACAAGGCTACAAGCAACCACTAATTAGTGTTGGAAGTTACTAGAAGAGAAAAGATGAAGATTGTAGAGCAAGATAACAATTGACAGACGACTTAAAAGATTGCAAATTATATGAATCAGGAAAGCAAGATGAAGGAAGCGAATTCCAAAGAACTGCTGTTCGAGGAAAAAAACTAGACGAATAAGAGTTTTTTGAGCACTTAGGAACAGTAACAGAAAAAGAATGAGAATTAAATGACGAGTAACACGAGAATGAATTTTAGTAGATGGCACAAGAGACGCTAGCTCTTTAGAGCAGTGCCCATTATAGTATTTGTAGAAAAGAGAAAGAGAAGCAACATTACCACGATGTGATAGAGGTTGAAGGTTGGTTGCAAGAGCAGGTCCAACTATGTTTACAATGGGTTTTTGCACCTGGTCTAAAAGAGAAAGGGCATCATTAGAAGATCCACCCCAGATATGGCAACAGTATTCCATACAAGGCCGGATTTGAGATTTATAGAGATAGAGAATAGAATCCAGAGTAAGAAAGTGACAAGCTCGATAAAGAGAAGCAACTTTAGCAGATGCTAATTTTGCAACAGATTTGATATAAGGTTTCCAAGAAAGATCAGAAGTAAGAGTTAATCCTAGAAGATGAAGGGTAGGAGAACTGTACAAAAGAGGTGGAATTACAGACTTGCCCTTATTATTGATACTATTAAAGATTCTCAAGAAGTCACGAGAGCCTAATTTTTGTGATGAAATACGAGATTTCATGATCTGAGAATAGCGGGCTTTGGCGTTAGACAAAACCTTTTTACAATGGTTCCTAGCAGTAATAAACAGACGTCTGTTTTCTGGAGAATTGTTTTGCTGATAGATATGGAAGTAATGGTTTCGAATGGCAATTGCAGCAGCACAATGTGAGGAAAACCATGGAGAAGAGTGAGGCTTGACCTGGAATTGTTGAGAGGGAATAAAGGATTCCATGCCAGCCTGAATCCACAAAGTTATGTAAGAAGCACATTTGTCAACAGGAAGACGAAAGATTTCTACCCAGGGGCCATCACGAAGAAAATCACGGAAAGAGTCCCAGTCAGCTTTAAGGTAGTTGTAAGATGTTCGATGATAGGGGAATTCTGATGATAAAGAAGAATGAGATAATGGTTTTAGAGAGACCAAACCATGATCGGAGGTACCTAAGGGTGAGTGTGGAGAAACTGAGCACTGACTAGGATCAGAAACAAGACATAAGTCGAGAAGAGAAGGTAAATGATTCAGGTTATCTGGAAAGCGAGTTGGAAAGTTGACTATTTGAGTTAGGGATTGAAAAAGGCAAAAGTTGTGGGCCTTAATGCCTGTGGAGTCACTAACACTAGAGCCAAGCCATTCTGTGTGATGAACATTAAAGTCACCGACAACAACAATATTGGCTGATGGATAAAGAATGAGGGCTTGGTCAATATAATCAGAAATAACATCAAGAAGAGTGCAGTCTTGAGATGAAGGAGAGCGATATAGAACAAAAAGAAAGGTGATAGTGTGCTAAACGAAAGCACATAAAAGAGTAGTCTGTGGATTCAAACCTAGTTTCCTGACAAATGGGTGAGTTCTTACGAATGTAAATGCCTAGGCCAAGCATGTGACTATTGGAGTCTTTACGAATTAAAGGAAGATAACCATCAACACTAAGATCACAAGATGAGACAGCTGAGCTCAAATTAGTCTCACAAAGAGCAAGTAGGTCTGGTGAACTTTGCAAGAGATAAGACTCAACAGAAGAAAAGTTACTTCAAAGACCACGAATATTGGTGAATGATAGGTTTAGCGAACTTGGTGATGACTGTGGTTTTTTGTGTTTTATAGTTTTTGTTACTTTATTCATTTTTAAATTTGTTAAAGAACTTGACTCGAAACATAGATAGTACTTAGCGTACTGTTTTATAGCCCAAGTAATTGCCTCATTTCCACTAATAAATCCTAAGCCGTAACAAAGGGCTCCAATGTGGCCTTGGCAATGCACACCAAAAGTACAAACAGGGACACCATCCATGCGCAACATGGCACTGTTAGTACTCTGATATTTTTCAGCTGTTGATGGAATCAGCCTCTCTGAGAGCTACCACAGAGTTCAGGAAACCTGACTACCAGCCGGCCTCAGAACCATAAAACTGAGTTTTAGAGCTGTACATTTGGAGATAATAGAATGAGTTGCCTAGTCATAAAAACAGAGACACAAGCAAAACCCATGCATTGAGTCAAGAAGATCCAGCATTCAACATCCTTAACTGGAAACAATGTATTAAAAATACATCTGCGCCAGCCTAATAAATGAAGAAGAGGTGCGAGGCTAGTCAACAGATAGAATCTGTTTACCCCTTAAGTCTTTGCCTAGGAGGCCTTCTACAAGACAGCAGCTGGATGCATTTAACATCTGCCCAAGATGAGTATTTTTATAGTAAATAATAATTTCTCTCTTTATATTTAAAATTTATTGAAAAAAAATAAGATAATGTTTTTAATGTAATTGTTTTCTCCTTAAATATCCTTACTTTTTCTTTCAAAAAAACGTCGTTCGCGACCAAATCTCCTTAAATATTAGAAAAATATCTCCTTAAATTTCCTTAAAATCCTTAATTTTAGCCTTTTTTTTAATAGTGGGAACTCTGCAAAATGACTATATAGTCTTGACAAATACCAATCACTTTTTAGTTGCTTAGAAATGGCAGTTTTAATTATAATAAAACTCATTCATCAATATAGAGCAGTAAAAGTTATTTACTGCTCTATATTGATGAATGACATCACTCTTACTCTTTTACTTTATGTCTTCTCGGGCTACCATTCACTACTGACCACTCATGAAAACCATATATAGAATCCATTGCAAAGTTAGTATCTGCTAAGATTGCTTCTCTGTTGTGCTTGACATTTTTTTTGTCATATTTCTATTCTCTACCTCTAAAAAAATCTTTTGTTTATCCCTGTTTGGAATCAATTTTATCACCACATTTATATAATATATACACTCAAAGTATATGAAATCAAATAGTTTCAGATTGTAAAGTTGGAATAATAAAAAGTGGTGTATGCACTGGTATTATGCAGACAATTTAATCATACAAAATTCTACACTTTCTGGTTTACGAGAATTAAATAACAAAGTTAAGTTGCAATGTCAAAACATATATATCAAATTAAACACTGAAAAAACCAACTTTATCATATCCGGTAAAAGTTCAGTTGCAAAAAAAACACAATTTAATTAAACGACTTTTCCCTACACTTTCAAAATAAACTTAAACACCTTGGATTCCTATGGAATAATCAAAATTATACACAAATTATAGCTACAGTTGAAACAGCAAGTTATCAAAACCAGCTCAAATATGACTGTTGTCATATTTGAGCTGGTTTTTCTAATGATACCCTTTTCATTCTAGACAAATTCCAAAAATATATTGTAAATGTAGTTGGATTTGCATTAGTTGATGCAGCTTCTGTCCCATTGTTATAAGGTTGTGTCACCTTTTGTTCTAACAACCAAAGGTTAATTATGTTTAACTTAATCTTTGTTTTCTGTTAATTACCAAATTAAAAAGTGGTTATTTGGAGCTTTGTTGGAAATTAGTTTTTATTTAAAAAAACAAACAAGATTATAATTGATTTAAACTTACTGTGGTTTAAATTATAACTTACTGAGGTTTAAATTATAACCTACTGAGGTTTAGTAATTTTTCATCTATTAAATATAGACTCAAGATCTTGATTGGACGTAGTAGTTCTTCTTTCTTGTTATATTATAATTCTATCTTGTTATATTCTTGTTATATACTAAAGCATTATTAACAAATAAGTTTAATTTTTTCAATGCACTGACTTATTGCACTTTTTTTCATTCAGTTATAGCACTTATATTTATTATTAGCTTTATAATTGCAATATAAATAACTTATTATTATAAAATATTAGTTATGTTTATATATATATATATATATATATATATATATATGCAGCCCAAATGAAGAAAAATGATGTTGGCAATATTCTGCCAACCTTAAATTGTTAAATGTTGCCATCAGGTCAGCAAAAAAAATTTTTATATAAAAGTTTTACCATAAAACATAGAATCGAGGTAAGCATTTTTTTGCCGACCTAAAACACTTCTAGGCTGGCAGTTAGGTTAGCATCGCTTTATACCGACCCTAATTCCGAGGGCTGATTATGTTTATACATGATTATACATAGGTATATAAAATCTATTTACATGTATTTAATTAAAAACCTAAAATTTAAACTGTTACATTTATAGATTCTTGTAAAGAGGATATATTTGGCGATGATTCATTTAAAGGAATATATAGGTTTAATGAAACACAAGTTAATATGACCAACATTATTCCCTGTAAATACAATGAAGTAGCTAATGTTACACGTAAATGTACTTCTATGTTGGGAACAGGACCTTATTGGATGGATCCTGATTTTGAAGCTTGTGATACTGCAACAACTAAAAAACTAAATGATTTGAATAAAGTATATATTTAATTTAAATATGTTTTGTTAATCCTATTTATATTAGTATATTATGTATAATATTTTACACCTGCGTAATAGAAACACTGTGAAGAGTATATAATAAAAGAAAATACAATTTATCTGTATCTGTCAAGTTTTTTGTTGTTGTTGTCGTTGTGTTCAAACATTGAATTTTTAATTTTTAATAGCTTGCTTTATATGCAACTGTAAGTCATACATATGACAAGACAATTAATTAATAAGATATAACCTTACAACTAATAAGTTGTAATGTTATATCTTGTTGTACACGTATATAATATTTTTACGTCTTGTTGTATATATTGTTGTTTGTGTATATATATATATATATCATTGCGCGTGCGTGTATATGTATTTATCATTGTAATGTCATATCTTGTTGTATGTGTATATATCAGGGCAATAGCCAGCCCTGCAGGGTTTCATTTTACATGGTTTTATACAAATATTATTACAAAAAAAAAAAAAAAAAAAAAGAAATGGCAACTAAATTATGAAACAAAACTTTGAAGAAAACCGCTGTTTTATATATGTTATATATATGTTGATGTCAGAAATAATCTTATTATAAATCTTATTAAGATTTAAAATTTAACATTTGATAAAAGTTATCCTGATGACTTTTGTTTAAAATAAGTTACAAACAAATATAAACATATACCTTGATGTATTTTTTTAATAAAAATATTTTAAAACTGGTATTCATTATACATATATACATACATATATATATATATATATATATATATATATATATATATATATATATATATATATATATATATATATATATATATATATATATATATATTTATATATATATATATATATATATATATATATTGTTGTAATATCGTATCTTGTTGTAAATGTATATATATTTAAAGTGTAAAACATAAACAACATGATATTTATGTTTTACACTAACATATTTATTAATATATTTATTAAAATATTTAGATAAATATTAGGAATTTAGTTAGCTGCATACTTTTTTTTTTCTTGTATAAATTTGAGATGTATTTTTTTTCTTGTATCAATTTGAGACAATTATTGTATCAAATTAAGAAGTCAATTGAGACGTAATTACATCTCAATTGGTTACCTTTTTATATAAAGAGTAATCAATTTTAACATATTATTAAGTCTCAAATTGAGACGTAGCGTTACATAAGAAAATCTGTATTTTTGAGACCTAATTTAAATCTCTTTTTTTTATGTTATGTCTCATCTTAATTGATTACACTTTTTTTAACCAATTCAGCTTTTAAAAGCATTACCAATTGAAGCATAATGTTGCAAATGTAAATTATTTGAGACAAAGCTACATTAAAAATAAAATAAAGATAAATAGCAATATGTCTAGGATAAACAATAGTTTACTGCGTTATCAAGTTTTCTTAACTAATATTTAATTAAAAATATAAGAATGTGACCATGTTACTAATTGCAACCAATTGAGCCGTAACATAACTTTAAAATGTTTTTTAGATATTTAAATTTTAAAAACTAAGATATATCCTTGGAATTGAGATGAAAAATAAGTTAATTATTACAAATTATACTTAAAAATAAAAAGTATAGAATACTGGGTACTGAACTATTAATTAACAGGCTTGAGTAACCATATTGTAATTTTGCAATTTAGTGGGGCACATTTTCCATGTTTCAAAATAATTTTGTTAAGTTTTTGTGTTCTTATAGAAACTTTTAAAATATATCAAAAGGAACCAGAGAAACTAAAGCAATGGATACAAAAACTAAAACTCTTCCACAGTGTAAACATAATATACAACATAAGTTATGTCTTTGATGGAGTTAGTAAGTTCTTGCAATTGTATGCAACCAATCAAAGAGTAAACTGTTTCAGTGTATCATTGTATTTATTAATAAAACTTTTCAGCTACATTATTAAAAACTGTCATGTGTGCAGCCAGATCATAAAAATTTTTGAACACTTTGAGACTTTTCTCTGCCTTCTTTAATTAGGACATCAAAGAAAAATTTTGAACTTTCTGTCACCAACAACTTCCTTACCAGATCCTCCAATTTCAACTGTTCAGATTCACTTTTCAATTTTTTACATCGAGTGGTGTCTGCCAATCATGGTTGATGTAGATTTTGTGTTATTTTTTTTTCAGTGTGTAAATGGCTTAGTCATCCATCTTGCATGATTTGTTGGACTTGGTACTCTAGATTTCTTTCTATCTTTGTGTTAACCAAGAAACCACAGATTATTTAACCACAGATTATTTAAAAAAGTTTATATATATATATATATATATATATATATATATATATATATATATATATATATATATATATATATATCACATTGCAGTGTTTTTACAAAATATATTTATGCTAATTATTTTTCAAAAAAAAAAAAAAACACTGTGATGTGTATACTTTTTTTTTCCAAAAAAAGTTATTTTCAAAAATGTTTAAAATTTCAAAAATATTTAAAATTTCTTCACTAATTTTATTCGGATTAGCGCATCTATAATAAGTTTAATAAATTTTTTTAAAGTTGATTATTTTTATAAAGGTATTTTATAAATGCATAAATAATTTATAATTGCTTCAATTTTTTAATAGATTCCGTTATGTAATGATGAATTAGGAAACAGTTCATGTTGGTTTCCAGATAAAATAATCCAAAAGGCAAATGAGATTGTTGATTCAAGCTCTTTAATTACTACTCAACAAGAAGTATCATTGGTTTCAAGGATTATTAATGAAGTTGTTTTGAACTCAACTAGTGCAGAAAAGGTTTGAATAAGTATAATTAAAGGAAATAAATATAATACTTTTGATTTTGTGTTTTTTTAAATTTTTTTACAGACATCATTTTTATAACCTTGTTTTTTTTTATAAAATATTTTTGATATATTTCAGTATAATCAGATAGAGTGAGAACAATTTAATTATATTGTTTATATTTTGTAATAAAAATGATAAAAACAGCAACAACATTTAAAACAATTTTAATAACAATATTAGTTTAATATGATTTAAGTTGGTATATTTTTATCCTTCTAGATTTCTTCTGGGATGTTAAATTTGGTAGATAAATTATTAGAAGTTAACAGCTCTATACTCTCTGAAGCGCAAACTATTACAAACTCATCAAGAAATATTTTGTCATCCCTTGATTTGTTAGCTGTTCTTATGGCAGGGGATCCCAACACAACTGACTTAGACATTACAAAAAGCAATATTGCATTAAATGGTAGGATTGTAAGCAATAGCAACACATACATAACTACATTTCAAAACCATGAAAAGCAAATGCAAGTGGTAATATCCAATGAAGAAAAATCAAGAGGTAAAAGTTTTACTTGATGTATGTTTTTTATCATATTTGTAATGTATTATAATGAAAAACATAATATCATGTAAAATATGTATTACAAAAAAATACATAATGCATTATGTGTTATATATAAATCATCTTCAAAGAGTATTGCATATTTTTGAATACTGGGGCTGTATTTTTAAAACATTTAGCTTAAGAAGATCCTAAGAGATATATATTCTAGTTTTGGATATGGCCAACACATGTTCATGTAGTTTTGTATAATTTTTCTAAGTTGAACTTTTTTCCCTAAATTTTATAAGATTTTTTTCTATAAAATATAAAATAATGGTAATGATAAATAATAAAATAAAAACAAATAGTAACAATATTGATCAAAAATGTAATATTTAATAGTTTGTTTATTTTTTATCTTAATTTATTTATTTTTCTGCGTATTTCTTAAGCAGACCCTAAATTAAGTTTACTTTTTTGAGCCTCTTACCCCTATAACATTTTAGAGTTACGTTATGTATTGTAGCGTAAACAGGATTCATTACGTTATGTGCAAAATGTTCGTTATTTTTACATAACCGAGACTTAACATTGTAACGTAACACTATGTGAAAAATGATACGTAACAACACATAACATTTTGACCTAATGACACGTAACACTGTAATTTATAGTATCTATTGCTATATTTTCATTTGTTTTTCCATATGTACATTTATAAATACGGAGAGAGATATTATTAATGAAGAGGGCCATGTAGAGAGAAAGAAAGAAGATTTATTTACTTAATATTTGATTAAAAAATAGAGAATGTAGCCTTGTTACCAATTGTAGCCGATTGAGACGTTATATAACTTTAAAATATTATAAGGGGTATATTAAAATATTATAAGGGGTATATATAAAATATTATTAGGTTCAAAAAAATTTTTTTTGAAAAGTGAAAAAAAATAAAAAATATATATTCATATATATATATATAGCATCTTTCTTTTAAATTTTCAATTTAAGTATTTATAAATGTTAATTTTATTTCTTTTTTAAAAAAGTGCCATATTATTACTTTTTTACAACCAAGTTAAGCAAAAAGTTGGATAACTTTTATGTATTTTAATTCTTTAAAGGAATTCCAAACCTCTGAGACATGTTGTGTTCATATTAAAGAGAATGATAACAAAAAAATGTTTGGACTAAATTTTTTTGATCAAACAATAAATGTATACTAAGAAAAACTAACTTTTTTATTTTAGTCAATGCTTGGCTTCTCTGTTTTGTTGTAGACCTAAAAGTCAGCATAATATATGCCGCAAGTCTTGATAATTTATTCAAGCACATTTTATTCCTTAGAGTTTTAGTACATGACATCATTGACTTTTTTTTTGTTTACATAATTGATCTTTTACACAATCATGTCATGTACTAAAAAATCAAAAATCAATCAAAAAAAAAATCAATCACTTCATGTACTAAAACTCATAGGAATAAAAAAATCAAAAATCATATAAAAGCGCATTTATTCTTCCGTTTTAATCAAACAAATTTCTCTTTAATATGTATACAAATTGTCTCATAGGTTTGGAATCCCTTTAAGATGTTTTATTTGTATTTATTTTAGTTTAAAATGTTAAATATCTTTATTAAGTTTTTTTTTCCATAAATATTTTGCTGTTTAAGAATCATTGCAATAACGAGATATATAGAAATTAATGTTTTCATTACCAGGGCAAAAAAATAAATGTTCACATGACCAGGGCAAAACAAAAAATAGTTATTCTAGTTTTATTACCTCTGAAGTCTGAAATTATGTGAATTAGAGAAATCCTCCTAATTTTAGTTCGAGTTAATTCTTCTTAATTTCTCTCCCCCATTTATAAATGGAAGCATTTGATGAAAGAATTGACAAAAATATATTAAGCAGAAGTTAACAAATATTATTTAGAAATATAAATTTAGAAATTAATCAAATAATAAATGAATTGAAAGTAGCAATAAAATAATTTTTTTTATCTCAGGAATGTTGGCTTCTATTTTAATTCCTGGTAGTTCGTTTTCTAATACCAATAATAGCATATACTCCATTGTCTACACTAATCCAAATTTGTTTACTACCAACAACAGTTTAGTTATAAAAAAATCTACAGAAAATTCAACTAAAACAGGAGTTGCTGCCAGTATCATTCTTTCAGCTACTGTAGCCAATCAAATGATGGTAAATCTGAAAAGTCCTGTTTTAGTTAAGTTTAAGATAATAAATGTAAATAATTTAACTGGAAAATATGACTGCTATTTTTGGAATTTCACTTTAGGTTAGTAAATTTTTTATGTTTTAATATTTAAAATACTTATTTTTATGTATGTGTGTAAATATATATATATATATATATATATATATATATATATATATATATATATATATATATATATATATATATATATATATATATATATATATATATATATATATATATATATATATATATATATATATATATATATATATATATATATATATATATATATATATATATATATATATATATATATATATCAGTAATGTACACTGGATTTTTAAATGTTTGAGTTTTAACACTTACAGGCATTGTGCAAACTCCAAACTTTTGTATGTTCATGCTTATGTCAAATGAGAATGCTTTGCAAAAAGATGCAGTGATTGGAGCTTGGGGACAAGAAAACCCCAATTTTTGGGCCCACCCAGCCCTTAATGTGGGAGCAAAGAGTTTATAAAATAATTTCTCTAGTATTTTTATCTAAGTTTATATTCATCAACAAATTTCAAATTTCATGCAATAACCTCTTTGTGTTTAGTTTTTATGACTCTACAATGCCTGTAAGTGTCAAAAGTCACACAGTTATATATATAACTGTGTGGGTGTATTTGTATATTAAGGGTGTTCAAAAAAATAAAATTTTCAAAATGCTAATACACAAGAAGCCAAATTTTGGGCAAATTTAAAAAAAGTAGGATTACAAAAAAAAATTCCTTTTTATAAAAAAAAACACCCTTATATATATATATATATATATATATATATATATATATATATATATATATATATATATATATATATATATATATATATATATATATATATATATATACATATATATATATATATACATATATATATATATATATATATATATATGTGTGTGTGTGTGTAAGTGTGTGTATATATATATATATATATATATATATATATATATATATATATATATATATATATATATATATGTGTGTGTGTGTGTGTGTGTGTGTGTGTGTGTGTGTGTGTGTGTGTGTGTGTGTGTGTGTATGTATATATATATATATATATATATGTGTGTGTGTGTGTGTGTGTGAGTATATATATATATATATATATATATATATATATATATATATATATATATATATATATATATATATATATATATATCCATATTTTTGTGCAACTGTAGCTAACTAATTTTTTTGCTAAATGTTAGCTACAGTTTCACAAAAAATATGGAAAGAATTATAAAAGGTCACAATAATGCTTTGTTAAACAAAAAAGAAATCCTAAATGAAAAAACTACAGAAAATTGTAATTGTAAACAAAAAAAAACAATTGTCCAATGAGTGGAGGTTGTTTATCCAAAAATGTGGTATATAAATGTGTTGTTTCCTCTAAGAATGTACCTGATAAGCAATATACTGGCATAACAGAGGGTGAATGGAAAAAACGTTTTGCCAATCATAAGCAATCCTTTAAAAATAAAAAGTGTTCAAAAGACACCATGCTGTCAAAATATATATGGGAATTAAAATATAAAAATATTGATGATTTTAGTGTCTGATCAAATTTTTAAAATATAATTTTAACGGTTTTACGGAACCAAGTTATGCAATCAAAATCTTTGTCATGTTATTAAGTTTATTTAACGATTTTATTTAGTTTTAGTTTTTATTTATTTTTTATTTTTTATCTTTATTTAGTTTTACTTTATTTCCTTCTTTTTTACTTTTTTTTTGCAGAATTTTTTTTAAGATGTTAAATTTTTGACATACAGATAGTTATTTTTTTTTATTTTTTTATTTTTTTACTTTTTGATAATACTTAAAAACTTAAAAAAAAGTTATTTTAAATATTTTATTTCAGATTTTTACTTTTTTTTAATAAAATAGTTCCAATTTAATATTGCATGTTTTTTTTTAGATAGACTTGAACTTGCATGCTATAACTGACAGCGCTTTTTTTTTTTTAATTCAACGCTGACAACGCTTTTTTTTATTCTTTACAACTTGACAACGACTTTTTAGATGTTTTAACTATTTAAATGTAATAAAAAAAAATTTTTTAGATGTAATAAAAAAAAATTGTTGTTACAAATAACTTTTAAATGTTGATCTTTTTTATTTAAAGTTTTTTCAAGTTTTTATTTTACGCCTTAAAAATAAAAAAATCAAACCTTTTAAAAACTTTAAATAAAATCAAAAATACAATTTAAAATAAACGCATTATCTGTAAATTAAATGTTATATTTAATTATTTTTTAGTTGGTATGTATTTTTTATACTAAATTTAAATATTTGAAACTATTTTTAAAATAGTTTCAAACATTTAAATTTATCATAAAAAGTCTTTCTAAAAATCTTTTATTAAAAGATTATTATTTTCAAAGGTACTTTAAATGATGAATAAGTTTAATCTTCCCAAGATTTAATTGCTTTTTTTTTTTGTTTCTATTTTTTATTTTGTTTCCTTTTTTACAAAGAATTTTTTAAAAATTTTTGTTTTTTTTAAACTTGACTCTTAATCAAAGAATGAAATGGTTAAAAATTACAATTTTAAAAAGACAACGTTTTTTTACACAATTTTTTTTTGTGCAACTTTTTGAAAAAAATCTTTAAACTCCCAACACATGTTGTGTTAATATTAAAGATAATGTTAAAAAAAAAGGTTTGAACCAAGTTTTTTTGATTAAAAATAAATAATGAATGCATACTGAGAAAAACTAATGTTGTTGTTTTAGCCGAAGCTCGTCTTCTCCATTTTTTTTCAATAACTCGGAGTCTTTAAATTATAGGTCGCAATCTACAGACTTTGGCGATTCCTTTGAAGCGCGTTTAGTTCATAAAAGTTTTAGCATTTGACGTCACGGTAGATTTTTAACAAAAGAAAAGTGTAATTAAACAAAGCTGCGTTTTTCTATTTTAATTAAGAAAAAAATTTTTTAACATACAGCAAAACAACTTTTACAACAAATTTTTGTAAAAATCAAAAATAATAAAAGCTTTTCATTTCATAAGAGGAACTTTTTTTTAACCAATATCTTAATAATTTTTAGATTTATATACCTTACTTATATTTCTTTTGTTTTTAAATTAAAACAAATATTAAAGCTTTACTTACGAATCTTATGATTTTCATATGAGTGTTTTACATTATATAGAACGTTATGTATACGGTCTCTCGTTTTTGTGCAAGAGAGCGCAGTATTATATATTCTGAATCTTACTTCTCTGGTTATTTTTACGCTATGATATTTTTTGTTTTCCTGTCGAAATAAAGTATTAAAAATTAATTTCATAAACTGACAGTATTAATTAGAGATATTTGATGAATTGTTAACTTTTTTTATTATAAAAATTTTTTGATTATGCTGATTTATTTTAAATTGCTAAATTTGCTAAGTTAGATACGGATAAAAAGGAAATATCATTTTATTTTACATTTGATTTTTGATAATAAAACTTTTAAAATGTCGGCAACTCCATAGCAATTAGAACCTGTTAAGGTTATGAAAAAAAAGTACAAGAATACACTAAACAATACAGTTGACAGTAGTATCAGGTATGCAAATTCGTGAAAGGATATGCGAGATCCCGGTTTTGCATTAAAAGTACAATTAATAGCAACACAAGTCGGCATTACAAATTTTGATTATTAGTTTACTGTTCAATATTTTATAACCATCAAATAAAAACGTTTGTATATTTTCGCCCGTTTTATACAACTAATATTTAACAAATATACGGACAAACTATTATTATATAGCGCAATAATTAACGCATTAATTAATGGCAATAATTCAAGATGAATGGTAATTTAAATTGACAAAATGGCATAAAGCGCGTTAAAAAACATTATATATTTGGTATTTCCCAATTTGTATTGTATTTGGCATTTGTCTCTTAATATGAAAAATTAAAAAAATTTTAAAACACAACAAATACAAATTTTCAAGCAATTTTCTCTTCCAATTTTCATTTATTCAAAGAAAAGTTACTATTAAACTTTTATTTCTCTAATCTAAAAAAAGAACGAGTGACGCAAAAAAAAAATATATATATATTCTATACAACTCTTATTCATTCGAAGTTTAACTACGCAAAAACTTTTCTTTCTCTTTTGTTCTACTCTTTTATAAATAGAGCGAGCGATGAAATAAAAACTTTTCTTTCTTAACATAAATTTATTCTTAGAGATAAAATTAAATTAGAAATAAAGCAACAATGAACAAAGCAACTAACAGATTAATCTGGGACTATTTTGATATTAATAAAAATAATCAACATAAACAACATTACCAACAGCAGTTATCAAATAAACAACACAATATCGCATAATTTTAGGGGTTTTTTATTTTTATTGGTTAGTCGTTCTAAATAATAAGTAAACTTAGTTCAAGTTAATATTTCAATATTTACAATTGCAATATAATAAAGAAATGATGTTTAAAGTTGAACTTTTTATTTAATTATTTATTTTTTACCTACATTTGTTATAAAAAACTTTTAAACCCCCGTCATTAAAATAATTTGTTTTCAATATATTTCAAAGTGATTACTCAAACTAATTTTTTTCGCTTGACTTCCCGAACTTCATGCAAAGCAAATTTGAGACGAAATATTATCTAACCAAATAAAAATGCTTTTACTAATTTTATAAGGGTAATTAATGTAAAACAATTTTTTATCAGAGTCTTGATTGAGATAATAAATATTCATAATTTATAAACATTAAATACATGGTGCAATAACAATTTATAGCAACAAACCATCATAAAATATTTGAGGTTTTTAATATATTTTTAAATGTTAAAAATAGAAAAAAAAAACTCAACATATAATCAAAAAAAATTAGAATAAAAATATTTCCAGAGTTTCATTTGTTAAAAGTCTACTGTGACGTCAAATACTAAAGCTATTATGAATTAAATGCGCTTCAAAGGAATTGCCAAAGTCTGTAGATTGTGACCTATAATTTAAAGACTCCGAGTTATTGAAAAAAAAGGGAGAAGGCAAGCTTCGGCTAAAACAACA